AGATCAGGACGGAGTCTGGTTATGACATGTTAGCAACTGTCACTTCTTTTTTTTTTTTTTTTTTAAATTTTTTATTGGATTATAGGTTTTGGGGTACATGAGCAGAGCATGCAAGACAGTTGCGTAGGTACACACATGGCAGTGTGCTTTGCTTTTCTTCTCCCCTTCACCCACATTTGGCATTTCTCCCCAGGCTATCCCTCCCCACCTCCCCCTCCCACTGGCCCTCCCCTTTTCACCCCAATAGACCCCAGTGTTTAGTACTCCCCTTTCTGTGTCCATGTGTTCTCATTTTTCATCACCCACCTATGAGTGAGAATATGCGGTGTTTCATTTTCTGTTCTTGTGTCAGTTTGCTGAGGATGATAGACTGGATTGGAAAAATGTGGCACTTCTTATTTTTTAAATACACTTTTAAGCAGTTTGATCTCCCATTCATGTCATTTACTAATTTGCTCATTCATTAACACATTCATTTGTGGAACATTTGGCCTAGGAAAGAGAAGAAACCCTTCCTTAGCATTAACAGGGGAGGGAAAACAAAATGCACAGATACATGCTTGGTTTTGTATAGCTTTTGACAGTTTCTAAGATAAAACAAGTTCTAACGTAGAAGACCAAAGACCTATCACTGAGATAATTTAATACTCTAAAAAGTCAGTTTCAAAAAAGCTTCCAAAATGTTTTTTAAAATGACTATCCTTTAGAATAATTATGAGCATTCCAAGGTTTTAGTATTAAACCAGTATTTATTACCACTTGCTGGGTGCCTGATGCAGGACAATTGAATGAGAGCCACAGACATGCATTGAAAACCCTCTGCCCACAGGTCCTCAGTTAGTATCAAAGCATAGAGCCCCCTGTAGAAAGTGCCGTGTATTCTGGGTGAGAGGATACCGTCAGTCAGCAAGCATATGTGGTGCGCAGAACAGGAGGGGTGTCACTGAGGGGGTGCTTTTTGAGTTAGTTGTGAAAAATGAGGACGGGTTTATGAGGCAGATATGAGAGGCACTTTGTTAAAGTTACGACTCCTACTCAGGCACTGGTTTGAAATTTCTATTTCATTTGCTCCTTGGAGGTCACTTGTTGGTACGCTTACATCTTCTATGCCAGAGTAAAAAGAGAGGAGTGATTGTGTGTGTGTGTGTGTGTGTGTGTGTGTAGTATTTTTCACAGAATTTCTTTGTGTTTCCAAGCTTACTTTAGAGCTGAAGCTTGCCAGAGTTCTCATGACAAATGTGTGGCTGAACTAAATTACAACCCGTTGCTTCTGGCTCTGGAGCTTTACGGCACCTCAAGGCTCTCATGGGGTATGGTCTACCGTCATGATTTATTTAAAGAACAAATCATAATGAATAACAGTGCTTAGCCTTGAACCTATAGCAGGGATAGGAAGTAGTTTAAACTTTCTGACTTACATGAACAAATGCAATATTCAAAAACTGTTTTCTAATATGCATGAATGTACTAAACTAGTTGCAGCTTTCATTTAAATGTGTTGTGTCAAAAGTGCTTTGTAAACTGTTAAATTTCGATGTTTTCATTGTTATAGTAAACTGTTAAATTCCAATGTTGTAAGCTGTTATAAACTGTTAAATTCCAATGTCATCATTGTTATAATGATTTTATAAATTACAGTGTTTTAAAATGTGAAACTATTCTAAAACATGTAGAAAAAATTTGGAATAATCTTTCCCTTTTGAAAACAGTGATTGTTTTTTAAATTCCCTTGATTTATATGTTTGTATACTGTGGATTCTCACTTGAGTGTATCAGCGTCTTTGCAATATAGTAAGATTTTGATATAGTTTTTAATCTATCAAGGAAAAGGCTAGATAAATAAGTAGGATCTCATTTTTCTCATAGCCCATTCTTTGAAGGATGATTTAAGACCATAAGAAATACAGACTCACCTTTTCTTATACTGATTTTCTTATACTTTTAAGTTCAAATTCATCTTGTCTCCTTCTGATTAAACAACAGGTTATCAAAAAACTTAACAGAAAATATCCTTATTATTTATGTAATCAGAAAAGAAACAGGACATACTGTGGTTTCTCGGGCCTGTTTCCTGTAAGTTGACCTCATAAAACCTTGTTGTCACTTCCATAATGTTCAGCTGCCAATTCTTTTGCTTGATCAATCAAAATGAATTACCTGAATTTACTCCTTCTCCTGTCTAAAATGGAACCCCATTCATCCTCCCACCCCCAGCCCTAGGACTGTTTCTTTTATTCCGATAGTTTCTGATATCCTTGATTTCACTGTAGAAAGCTGTGAGTCTCCCAAACCCCTTCACTCAGATCCTGTGGAGCCTGCGTTCTAAAGTGTCTTCAGTCTTCGTTCTTTGCATGTTCATGGGCACCTTGTCGTTTAGATTCTTATCTCTTACTGTGAGAGATCCCTCTTGATCTTCCTGCCCTTCCTAACATGTGATATGATCGTGTCGCTGCCTTGCTTAGAAGCCCTGCCCTGGTTTCCAGCTCGTGCAGGCAGAATCAAGTGCTTGCTGTTTCACATGGTCTACACGGTCCTCCAGATTCTGTATTCCAGTTATTTTCTCAGCCTCAGAAAAGCACCTCACTCTCCAAACTTATCAAAGAGCACCCTCCTGCCTCCTGCTCATGCATCTACTCCTTTCCCTCTGCCTGGATGCTCCTCCTTTCAGCCGCCCTTCCTGCTTAAATTTCCACGGATTGACTGGTGCTTGAGTGTTTCATTGCACTTTGGACTTCTTGCCTCTCACTCCTGGCATTTGTCTGTCTACCTGTCTCGACCTGTCACTTGTGCTGCCTCTGGCTTATCTGCCTAACTCTGGTTGACAGTGTTATTTGTTAGCTTCATATGTACTTGTTCTCTCAACTATTTTTCAGCCTACCCACATCAGGCCTTGCCCCATATTTATAAGTTACTTTGGCTTGAGAGTGACTGTGCCTTTCTAATAAAACTATTTTATAGATTGATATTTACGATGGTATAGTAGAAAAGAAATGAATCTATCTTTGAGTGTATTGCAACATATTTAGTGATTCATACATATTTTCTTCTTACTCTTATCATTATTGTTTTTTTAAATAGACAATCAAGGAAGGCAGAGTCTAGGCCACCAATCTGAATTTAGACTTTCATCTTTATTAAGATATTTGGCATCTCTCCAAGTATTCTGAATTTTAAATGCCATTCAGTGATTCGATGAAACAGAAATTTTGTTTTAATATTTTACTATGAACTGAGTAAAGTTCAGCAGTTGTCTACTGTCCCATCATTGCCATAAATTCAAAATGTAAAAGGAACATTTATCTTTTAACATGGTTAAAAGTCCTCAGCCCTTTTCTTAGGTGCACTCATGACTATGTGATCTCATGAAACCGGATTGCATTAAATTCCACGTATATGTGCATGGTTCATGAATGTGTATTTCTAGCTCCCACCTCTCCTCTAAAATTTAGACTCATATTTAATTATCTGTTAATTATAACTACTTGGAAGATTAATAGACAACTCAACTATCATATAAGGGAATTCTTGATCCTCCACCTTCAAGCCCTGGGCCCTACCCTACTCAGTCCTCTCCATCTCAGTAAATAGCACCTCCAGCATACCAGCTGTTAGGCCAGAAAACTTTCCCTGACCCCTCTTTGCTTCTTACACCTCCTATCAGCATACACTGTTGAACCATATTCAGCACCCGAGCTCCCCTTTCCACACCCACTGTGTGCACCCAGCTTCACTTTTTGTCATTGTTTTAATAGATTATGGAAACAGCCTCCTGTCTCCTCTCCCACTTACTCTCTCATGCTCCCTGCTCTTTGCTCTTCACTGAGCAACCAGAATGTCTTTTTTTTTTGAGACAGAGTCTCACTCTGTCACCAGGCTGGAGTGCAGTGGCGCAATCTGGGCTCACTGCAACCTCTGCCTCCTGGGTTCAAGTGATTTCCTACCTGAGCCTCCTCAGTAGCTGATACTACAGGCATGCACCACCAACCCTGGCTAATTTTTGTATTTTTAGTAGAGTCAGGGTTTCACCATGTTGACCAGGCTGGTCTTGAACTCCTGACCTGAGAGGATCCAGAGTAAGTCTTTTAAAGCATAAGGCAAATAATGTTTTTCATCTGCTTAAAACCTTCCATGGCTAGCAAGGTCTTAAACCATCTTGTCCCCGACCCTTCTCAGATCTCTAGTCCAATCAGTCTCCCCTCTATTCTTGCAGTCTTCAAAGACACCAACCAGATGTGCTTCTGCCTCAAGGCCTTTGCATGTGTACTCCCCTTTGCCTGGAATGCTTTTTCATCAGGTATCAGCATGGCTTACTTCCTCTCTTATCCAGGCCTTTGCTTAATTATTACCCTGTCATAAGAAGAATCTTTTCTGACCATTTCACTTAAAATGGCACCTTCTCTTTCTAAGGCCTTGAGGAATCGCCACACTGTCTTCCACAATGGTTGAACTAATTTACACTCCCACCAACAGTGTAAAAGTGTTCCTTTTTCTCCACATCCTCTCCAGCATCTGTTGTCTCCTGATTTTTTAATGATCGCCATTGACCCAGCAATCCCATTACTGGGTATATATCCAAAGTACTATAAATCGTTCTACTATAAGGACACATGCACATGAATGTTCATTGCAGCACTGTTTACAATAGCAAAGACCTGGAATCAACCCAAATGCCCATCGATGATAGACTGGATTGGGAAAATGTAGCACATATACACCATGGAATGTTATGCAGCAATCAGAAATGATGAGTTCGTGTCGTTTGTAGGGACATGGATGAATCTGAAGAACATCATTCTCAGCAAACTGACACAGGAACAGAAAATGAAATACCGCATATTCTCACTCATAGGCGGGTGATGAAAAATGAGAACACATGGACACAGGGAGGGGAGTACTAAACACTGGGGTCTATTGGGGGGAAAAGAGGAGGGCCAGCGGGCGGGGGGAGCTGGGGAGGGATAGCCTGGGGAGAAATGCCAAATGTGGGTGAAGGGGAGAAAGGAAGCAAAACACACTGCCATGTGTGTACCTATGCAGCTGTCTTGCATGTTCTGCACATGTACCCCAAAACCTAAAATGCAATAAAAAATTTAAAAAAAAATGGCACCTTCTCACTCTCTATTCTCTTATTCTACTTCATTCCTCTTTAAAGCACTTCTTACCATCTGACCTATCTTGTATACACACTTTCGGATTTCTTCACTGGCTGCTCCCGCTCTCCCCTATGCAAGCTCCATGAGAGCAGAGACTGTTTTGTTCATTGCTGCATCTCTCTCTTAAAATAGTTCTTGGCCTAAGTGGCATGCAGGTGAGTATTGCATGCGTGAATGAGACAATAATGGGCCCAAATTCTTCTTGAAAGTTCCTCAATCTTAAGGCTAGTTTACTATCACCATATTTCTTGGTTTCTTCACCATTATTGACTCACTGTATCTCTGTCTCGTTTGTGGGCATACCTTGGAAATATTGCAAGTTCAGTTCCAGACTACTCAAATAAAGCAAACATTGCAATAAAGAGAGTCACACAATTTTTTGGTTTTGCAAAAAACATGATGAAAGTCATGTTTACACTAAATTGTAGTCTATTAAGAGTACAATTGCATTATGTCTAAAAATACCAATGTGCATCCCTTAGTTTAAAATAATTTATCAATAAAAATGCTACTGATCATCTGAGCCTTCAGTGAGTTGTAATGTTTTTGTTGATTGGGTGGGTGGGGTCCTGCCTCTATGTTGATTGCTACTGACAGATCAGGGTGGTGGGTACTGAAGGTTGGAGTGTCTGTGACAATTTTTTTTTCTTGAGATGGAGTCTCACTCTGTTGCCCAGGCTGGAGTGCAGTGACAGGATATCAGCCCACTGCAACCTCTGCCTCGTGGGTTCAAGTGATTATTTTGCCTCAGCCTCCCAAGTAGCTGGGATTATAGGCACCCAACAACACACCTGGCTAATTTTGTATTTTCAATAGAGTCAGGGTTTCACCATGTTGGCCTCAAATTCCTGACCTCAGGTGATCCACCCACCTCAGCCTCCCAAAGTGCTGGGATTACAGCATAAGCCACTGCGCCCTACCAGCAATTTCTTAAAATAAGACAATGGTGAAGTCTGCCACATCTACTGACTCTTGCTTTCATGAAAAATTTCTCTGTGGCATGTAACACTGACAGAAATTTACCCACAGTAGAACTTCTTTCAAAATTAGAGTCAATTCTCTCAAACCCTGCTGCTTCTATAGCAACTAAGTTTATTGAATATTCTAAATCTTTTGTTGTCATTTCAATAATGTTCATAGTATCTTCACCAGGAGGAGATTTCATCTCAAAAAAAATTGCACATTTTTTGCGCATCCAGAAAAATCAAGTCCTCATTTCTTCACGTTGTCATTAGATTGCAGCAATTCAGTCACATCTTTAGGCTCCACTTCAAATTCTAGTTTCCTTGCTCTTTCTACCATATCTGCAGTTATTTCTCCCACTGAAGCCTTGAACTCCTTAAAGCTATCCATGATCATTTTAATCAACTTCTTCCAAACTCCTGTTAATGGGTTGATATTTTTGACCTCCTCCCATGAATCATGAATGTTCTCAATGGCATCTAGAATGGGGAGTCCCTTCTATTAGGTTTTCAGTTTACTTTGCTCAGATACATCAGAGGAATCATAACTATGACAGTGAAAACTGTATGCAATGTATTTCTTAAATAAGAAGACATGAAAGCGGAAATTACGCCTTCATCCCTGAGCTTCAGAGTGATCTCGTATTAGCAGGTATGAAAACAAAGTTATTTCATTGTATATCTCCATCAGAGCTCTTAGGTGACCAGGTACATTGTCAAGGATTAGTAATATTTTGAAAAAAATTTTGTTCTCTGAGCAGTAGGTATCAACAGTGAGCTTAAAATATTGAGTAAACCAGACGGATGCAGTGGCTCTCACCTGTAATCCCAGCACTTTGGGAGGCTGAGGTGGGTGGTTCACCTGAGGTCCGGAGTTCAAGACAAGCCTGACCAACATGGTGAAACCCTATCTCTACTAAAAAAAAAAATACAAAAATCAGCTGGGCATGGTAGTGTGTGCCAGTAATCCCAGCTACTCAGGAGGCTGAGGCAGGAGAATCACTTGAACCTGGGAGGCAGAGGTTGCAGTGAGTCGAGAATGTACCACTGCACTCCAGCCTAGGTGACAGAGTGGGACTCCATCTCAAAAAAAAAAAAAAAAAAAAAAAAAAAACTGAGTAAACCATAGTATAAATAGTTGTGCTGTCATTCAGGGTTTGTTGTTCCATTTATAGAGCACAGGCAGAGTAGATTCAGCAGATGTTTTAAGGGCCCTAGAATTTTCAGAATGGTAGGTGCACATCAGCTTTAATTTAAAGTCACCAGATGCATTAACCCTAACAAGACTCTGCCTGTCCTTTGAAGCCTTGAAGCCAGGCATTGCCTTTTTCTCTCTAACCGTGAAAGTCATAGATAACATACATTTCCAGCAGAAGGCTGTTTCATCAACACTGAAAATCTAGCTACCTTCGTCAATGATCTGAGCTAGATCTTCTGGATAATTTGCTGCTATCATACTTCCTGCTTCATCTTGCACTATTATGTTATGAAGAGATCTTCCTTCCTTAAACCTCATGAACCAACCTCTGCTAGCCTCAGACTTTTCCTCTGCAGCTTCCACACTTCTCTCAGCCCTTATAGAACTGAAGAGAGTTCAGGGACTTCCCCTGAATTAGAATTTGGCTTAATGGAATGTTACGCTGCTTGAGCCTGTTATCCAGACCATTAAACTCTCCACACCAGCAATAATGCAATTTCATTTTCTTATGAAAATGGACGGTGTGTCCACTGGATTAATGTCCTTCAAGAACTTTGCCTTTGCATTCACAATTTGGCTATCTGTTTTGTCCTAGCCTCTGGCCCACCTCATCTTTTGACATGACTTCCTTACGAAGTTTAATCATTTCTAGCGTTCGATTTTAAGGGAGAAATGCATGAGATTCTTCCTTTTACATGAACAGGCCATTGTAGGATTATTAATTGGCCTAATTTTCATATTGTTGGGTCTCAGAAAGTAGGGAGGCCCAAGGAGAGGAAGACAGCTGGGGAAACAGCCAGTTGGCGAAGCAGTCAGACTCCAGACAATGTGTATCAATTAAGTATGCTGTCTTACATGGATGCAGCTCAGGGTGCCCCAAAATAGTTACAGCAGTAATGTCAAGGGTCACTGATCACAGAGCACTATAACAAATATCATAATAGATTTTGAAATAATACTAGAATTACCAAAATGTAACACAGACACAAAGTGAGCCCATGCCATTTGGAAAATGGCACCAAAGCTTCCGGATGGCTGAACACGTGGTGGTTCCTAGAGGAGGTGGCATCTAGGGAGGCAAAGAATCACCACACCACTTCCTCCATCCCTTGGCTTGTGTGTCTCTTCATCTGTATCTTTTGTAGCATCTTTTATAATAAGCTGGTAAATGTGCTTCTCTGAGTTCTGTGAGCTGCACCAGCAAATTAATCAGATTCAGTGAGGGCATCTTGGGAACTCCAACTCGAAGCTGGTCAGAAGTTCTGGAGGCCCCAACTTGCAACTAGCGTCTGGAGACTGAGCCCCTAACCTGTGGGACCTGACACCCTCTTTAACTTTCATTTTAGCAATTACAGATAACAATAACCAAGGGACTGAATATTTTGCTTTTTTCTTGTTAGTTTGCATTTCTTTATGCCTCCAGTGGAAAATACCCCCATACATTTGGTTGTAGAAGTCTTCCGTCCCTATGATTTTTGTGGTGTGAGAGCAGAGGGAAAACAAATAAAGAAACAAGGTTTCAGAAAGTTTTTCCCTAAATAATTGTTGTCAGTGAAGCGGGATTTGCTTGAACAGCCCTGACGCATGGAAGCCAATGGTTTGAAACGAGAAAGGATTAAAGGGTGGGGGGATAAAGAATCTTCAGTTCCCAGGTGGCCACGTGGTCGCCCATAGTATGAAGCTGCAGCTATGTTGAGATCAGTTACTAAAGGTACAAGTTTTTAGCAGAGTTTACAGATGGATCCAACGCCCCAGGAATTGTTCCACTGGAGGCATAAAGAAATGCAAACTAACAAGAAAAAAGCAAAATATTCAGTCCCTTGGTTATTGTTATCTGTAATTGCTAAAATGAAAGTTGAAGAGGGTGCTGGCTCAGGCCTTGCGGCTGGACTAAACTCAGATGTGGGGCTGTCTCAACTCAGGCCACTAGCCTCAAAGCCACCCAGAAAGGGGAACATTACGCCCGGGCCAGAAAGTACCTTTTGGATCTTTGGACACCAAGAAGGTAGCGAATGTGGGAGAAGGGCAAGGCAATTACTCTTGAAACCAGAGGTGTCATGTGAAGGATTATTCCATTTTGTATACTGATATCATCAACTTTAGGCTGCTGCTTTAGGCAGCTCCAATCCAAACAATGGAGTTGATTTTAGAACCCTAAAATTCTCAAAGCTGGCTTTGTCTCCCGGGAAGGGCATCAGCTGAGATAACCCAAGTGGCATTTGAGAAAAAGCAGGAGCAGGAAGGTCGCTCTCTGCCCACCCCCGAATCCCGGGAGCAGGTCATAAGCCCTTGTTTGAGGGGTTTAAGAAAGAAGCATCCTTATCTCTGAAGACACAGCCTTGCTGAGTTCCCCCAGTTTATCTCCGTGAGAGCACACACACTCTGTCCGATTCTACCATTCCATGGCGGCCACTGTTCATCAAACCTAACTAAGCCTACGATACACAAGTTTCCTGTTCTTTGGGCCATTTTCTTATGAAGACTCCTGTGCCACAGAAAACTTTTTAAATAAATGTGTATGCTTTTCTCTTGTTAATCTGTACTTTGTTACAGGGGCATCGCCCATAATCCTGGTGATGGGTGGGGGAAAAACATCGTTTTTACCGTACAAAGGAATAAAAAAAGAAGTATTGGGTGTATACATTCTCAACCCAATGAGAGAATTCCATTCTGTGTGACTTATTTCCTCCCTATGTTGTATTATTCATGGACAGACCCTCTACTCTTGATTCATTTGATTAAAAAAATTGTGAACACTGCATCCTGAACTGTGGCCCTAGAATGAAGTGTCTTGCAGCTATTAATGACACCCAGCGGAAAGCATCCAATGGATGCTTAGGATGAGCCGATAAAGAATTTGGGAGAGCCCTTGCCCTGGACTTTCTGAGACAATTTCCTTCTTCACAGCAGTGTTCAGGTTTTCTTGAGCCCTTAGCCATGGGAAAGCTGTGCTCTCTTATTTCTCCTCTGAGGCTGTCTTCTTCATAGCTCGATTGCAGTTCTGCAGCGCAGTCAAAAACCTGGGCATTGGCCAGGCGCGGTGGCTCAAGCCTGTAATCTCAGCACTTTGGGAGGCCGAGGCGGGTGGATCACGAGGTCAGGAGATCGAGACCATCCTGGTCAACATGGTGAAACCCCGTCTCTACTAAAGATACAAAAAATTAGCTGGGCATGGTGGCGCGTGCCTGTAATCCCAGCTACTCGGGAGGCTGAGGCTGGAGAATTGCCTGAACCCAGGAAGCGGAGGTTGCGGTGAGCCGAGATCGCGCCATTGCACTCCAGCCTGGGTAACAAGAGTGAAACTCCATCTCAAAAAAAAAAAAAAAAAAAAAAAAAAAAAAAAAAAAAAAAAAAAAAAGACCTGGGCATTTCCCAGCATTTTATATGTTGTGCCTGAGAAGGAATCTGTACACTCTGGGTAAGAAGGAATTCAATCTTAGACAAACGGTGCTGTGTGAATTACTAAAAGGCTTCCCTCTGGGCAACACTCATTATGGTTTGTGATCAAGTTACAGAATGTTCGTGTTGCTTCTTCATCAGCTTTGTTTGTGATTTGATATAGTTGATCAAGATTGCAAAGTGATTTTAATTTTTGTGCTTATATATTAAGGAGTGGTCTCTCTGCTATTTCAAGTGAGCCATCTATAAAATTAACTTAATCACCCATTAGATCTACAGACTATAAAAATGAATATTATATACATATAGAACTGCATATGTGTAAAAAAATTTCTAACAAATATCTGGGCTACAGGTGTCACAAAAAGAAGGCTCACTTTTAGTGCACTCACTTTTAGAGCAAGCAAAATAATATATATTACAGGTTAAGAAAGAGAAAATAGCAAAAAAAAAAAAAAAAAAAAAGAGAATTGAAATAAACTGAAATTCTTATTTTCTTGTTTCCTTATCACTAGGTTTTGCAGAATCCAGCTCCATGAGAAAGTTTTCCCCATTATCAGTCTCCTAGTAGGCTTTGTAATTAGGAAAAAAACGCAAAACTCCCCCCTTCCTTTGCTATGTTTTGGTTGCATAATCTTATTCTTGGATATAGTCAACATAAATTTAGGGCTTATATTCAAATCAAGTTTGTAAAATAAAATATTTCTCTTTCAAATTTGTGTCTGTAGCCCCCATCCCTCATCAGATGTCAGGAATAATTGGTGGATACAGGATTTGTTCTTTAAATAAGAAAGCAAGCATTATTTTCTTACAAATGAGTAGAAACTGCTGAAAGATAGGGCCCCTGCATCAGACTTCTATCTTGTGTTTCTGGGAGAGTTGTGGTGCCAAGATATTATCCATCTTTCTCCCCATTTGTTCTAAAGATCCCCAGGCCTCCCAGGTGCTGGAGAGTGAGAGAGGATTTAAAGTCTTTCTGAGAGTGACTCCTCACATTACTGTGGTTTTCTGTTACTAATACAAGTGCTTTCCCAGCATCTGTGACGCAGTTTTCTCTTTCTGTCTTTCTGTTCTCTAAGGTACTGAGCACAAGGTATCTCATTTTAAGAAACGGAACAGTGAAGCATAAGCTTACACTTATCAGATGGCTTACACTTCACTCCAAGGGTTCAGATCATTCATTCTCTGATTTCCCCTTTGCTTTTCTGAGAAAAATACAGTTGTATGTTGACTAAGACTAAAGAAATTCAGCTTTGTAGAAGGAACAGAGCATCTCAGTTGCTGTAAGTTTTTGTTGTTAGTTATTATTTGTAACCAAGAGCTCTAATTTTCCTAGATCTGTCTGTTGTAGAGTGCAGCAGTATCTTCTTTGGTGCTGCAGGAGAAGGGATGCAGCCCTTCTTTCTGGGTTCTTTTGGCCGAAGAAGCCTTTCAAAACATAAAATGTAGGCTCCATGAGCAAAGGTGTTTTTTGCCTCTTTTGTTGCTGTTCTGCCTGATGTGTGGCACACAGTAGACTCTCTGTAAATACTTATGGAATGAATGAATGAATTCTCCATGAAATAGGTTTAGTGGATGGGGTTTATTAGAGCTTTATATCCAATGACCTTCGTGTGGGGAGGCAATATTGCCAGTGAGTGTCATGGTTGCCTTTCTATTCCAGCTCTTTGTCCTGGGAAGAGCTTGCTGCATCTTCTTGTTTCAGCAATCGAAGAAGCAGAGTTCCCCTGCAATTCTTCAAGGAGCCTTGAGAATTCAGAAGGTCTTCGGGTGGCTGCATCAATCCTGCAGACAAATGCCAGGTGGCAGAGAGGCCATTCCCAGGGTCACATGGCTGGCTGGGTTCAGTCTTGGCCAGGTATGGAAGCCTTTTTCAGGCACACAGCATGCATGCTTACATGATTTAATTTTGAATGCCATAGACCTGGTAAGTCATAAAATGGCAACCAATGATTATATTTTAGAGTGCTTATTTCCTCACAAAAATCTCAAAGCATGTGATGATAGGTTGGAATGTGTAAAGAAAAGCTAAGAAAGCAGACTTCTGATAAGAACAGCTTGTCACTTGTACAGCAGCTCTGAAGTACAGCCTGAAGGATGGAATGCTGACGTTCCTTCTTTCTTACTTGTGATTGCTAGAATTTTATTTAGCAGATCATTTCGAGCCAATCTCAAAATGAGAAAATTCTTTGAGGAATTATGCATAATGTTAAGTATATTCTCTTTCTTGTTGCCAGTGGAGATTCCACTGGTAACAGGGCAGATTTCTCACTGCAGGTTCAATGGAGATGATGCTGTTATGTCTTTGGACATAATAGTTTATGATAAGGAGATCAAAATAATTCCTTTTAGCCATGCAGTTGTCTGTAAATCTGCTTAGTTGGTCATCCTAAGCAATGACATTTAAGATGTAGTTGATAGACTGTTTATCTTAAAGAAACATTTTAAATTTAATTTTTCAGACCTATGCAATATTTCATCTTTTCTGTTTAATAATATCCAAATGTGCTTTTGTGAAGCATAAAACACATGTGCTTCACAAAATCAGTCAGAGAGCTTTGAAAATAGAACGTATTTCAAGTATGTAGCAAAGACCTTCAAAACACAATTATTGAAGGAGCATAAAAAGGGGAATTTGCTTCAGTTTTAGATTTTTAATAGACTTCACTGTTATGTAGTGAAGACAGAAATATGCCGTAAAGTCTCTGGTTAAGAGCCAAGACTGCTTCTCTTGTATCATTTCAGATCCTGTCATTTCTATCTGATCTTTAGAATACACTATGCATATTCATAATGCCAAGTATCATCAGAAAAGACAATATCCATAACATTATTCTTTATGCTCTTTAAATAAATATGCTGGCACCTGAATTCACAATTTAAAACTCTGACTTTGTAAAAAATTTGCATGTATCTCCAATGAAGACATTGTTACACTTGCGTTCTTTGTCCATGATTTATGACAATTTTGTGCATGATTTACTTATAATTTATGAGACCTTTACGTTTGTGAAAATAAAACACGTAAGTTGAAAGTTATTTCAAAATACACATCAAGTCCATCACTTTGTTCTGTCAATCTGATCTCTAAATATTTCTCAGGTTTGTCATTTACTTTCATTTCTCTTCCCACAGCCAGAGCCCAGATCACCATCATTCCTTCCTCTCTGGACTCCTGGAATGTAGTCCCATTCTTTATGCCTCAGAATAATTAATGACACAGGAAAAATACATTATGTAAAAAAAGTAGGAGTCCAAACTGAACACTCAAGTTGATTGAAAACACACTACAATGTTGACAGTGATAGAATTAGCAGTGATACCTATTTTGCTCTTTTATACTTTTTAATATTTTCTAAATGTTCTACAATAAGCATGAAGTATTTTTAAAAAAACTTAGTAAGGTGCACTCTCCTTTAAACAAATTCAAGCAACACAGAAAAGTGAAAGTAAAAACAAATACTATTTAAAACTACTGCTTAGAAATTCTCATTATGAAATTAGGTGAACAATGTGTCAAACATCTTATTTTTCTCTCTGAGTGTTTACTCAGACACGTGTGTGCACATGCACCTACAGAGAGGGTGAGGAGCAGATAGTTAGCTAGCTAGAGACAGGCAAAGACTAAAATTCTATATATACGAGATTAAACTATGCATAAGCCTAAACAGATTAAAATGTATTACATTAACAATTTGTACCTAAAATTTTAAGCCTTATTTAAAATGCAAGGTGTCAGCTAATTTTTTTTTTTTCAATAGCTGACACCTTGCATTTTTAATAAGCTTTTCATGTTGTGGACTTAGACACGCACTGGCTCTAGCTCTGTTCCAGTTCTTTCCTCTTGCCTTTGGTTTCTACCTCTCCATCCTAGGCTTGACTTTATTTATTTTTTAACCTTATTTAAAAAAAAATACTTTAAGTTCTGGCTTGACTTTGAGAAGAAGCACAGCTAACCTGCAAGGACTTTAGGCCTAATCTGCATTTCTTAGGGAGAGAGAGAGAGAGAGAGAGATGGAAAGAATGAGATGGGTTCTTCTTTGCAGAAACATGTCTGCTGCTTTCTTCTCAATTCCCTGGACAATATTTCTATTCACTCTCCCACTGTGAGCAGGTAGATGCCTGCATGGCTAGCCCATTCTTACTCAAACATTTTGAATAAAAACAATTGAAAGACAGAAAGAATAACATGTGCTGCCTTTCAAATTGTACAGACTGGGTGAATTTAGTAGAGAATGAACGAAGTAGTTTACAATATACACATTTCTGAATTCAGCGGTCTGTATGTTCACTGCCCCAAAGAAATAAAAACATTCATCAAGAACCACTCAATGAGACAAACAACAGAGATTAGTGCTCTTCTCTTTTTATCTGTTACTTGATTTTCATAAGACTCTCAGTACCACCTTCCAGGTCTGAAAGCTGCTTTGTGTCCCACGGCAGTGTGTTGATGTTAGCAAGAGCCAAGTCTGCCGATCTCTGCTCTGCAAATTACTACAAAGTGTGACTGTGTGTATAGCCTTAAGCACTGCACCCCAATTCCCCTGTCTGTAATATGGAAATCATAAAATCTAACTCTGAGACATAATTTAAATAATGAGAGTGTACATTATAGTAGGGTTATAAACAAAGGTTCATTCTCTTTCATGCCTTTTATCATCTAATCTAGTTTCTTTGGAGGAAACAGAGAGCTTTAATTCAGTAGGAAATTATTTATTTATGTTTCAAACATGTCACTTATAAATAATTTCCTACTGAATTAAATACTAGGTCTAAAATTCTGTTTTAAAACTGATGACTTTGAACCACATACTTTGTATGAATTCTTTTGTAGTTGGATTTATTGTCACCATCTGCTTCCTCCTTTTACTATGTTGTCCTTTCCTTTCTCTCTCTTTCCCTCTTTCTTTCTCTCCTCCTTCTCTCCCCCTTTCCTTCTTTCTCTTTCTTCCCTTCCTTCCTTCTTTCTTTCTCTTTTTTGACTGAATTTTGATTTTAAAATTATTTTTACTCTCTCTGCTGGTTTGGAAGCCATAAACCCTTTTCCTAATCATTCTATGGTTGCTCTTAATCTTGACAAAATCCAAAATAAATCTGTTCTCCTCCCTAGCAATGATGTATCCTAATTCTCATCAATTGCCTCCTGTCTTACATTGTGTTTTTGTACATTATTTAGATGCTGTTTTGTTTTTTTCTCACTTATTTAGTGTTTTATTATTTTGTTGATACCAGTTTCTTTGTTTACTTTTCCTTTTTTCATCCCAGGCCTTTTTATGAAATCATTTTACTCCTATCTGAAGTATTTCCTATAGCAATTCCTTTAGCAAGAGCCTGACTAAACATAGATTCTGTTTGCCTAAAATGCATTTATTTTGCTCTAATTATGACATAATAGTTTGCTGAGCAAACAACTTGAGATGGACACTATCTTCTGTCAGAATTTTAGGGTAGTGCTTTGTTCTGTGTCCATTGTTATTGTTACAAAAAATTGTTTTTCGTATGTTATTTCATTGAAGTTAAACTTTTTACTCTGTGTATTTTTAAGGTCTTTTTCTTAAAATTTTGGTGGCTTGGAATTGAAGTTTCGGTCTAGATATGGGTTTATTCTCATCGTATCTGCAGAGAAATGCTTGGCTTCTCTTGTTTCTCTATCTTCACTTTCTGTTTTCTTAAATTTTTAATTTTATAGAGATGGGGTTTTGCTATGTTGCCCAGGCTGGTCTCGAACTCCTGGCTCAAGGAGTCCACTCACTTTGGCCTCCCAAAGTGCTGGAATTATAGTTGGGAATCATTATGCCCTGTCAGTCCTCACCATGTGGGCCACTCTTCAGGACCCGTTGTGTCTTCAAGGGCTGCTCTTTATGTATCTTAGCCTTCTTTCATATTTTGCATTTCATTATCTCCATTATGTCTCTGAGCTTCATGTTAGTAATTTATCTATAAATCATTATTATCTTAGCTGTATTAATCTTTGGTTTATCTGATCTACTAAATTTTTAATTTGAGTGATTACATTTTCCATTTGAGATGTTCTTTTTGGTTCTTTTTTCAAATTAGCCTGATTTTTTTTTTTTTTTTGGTATAGCATTTTGTTTCTAGGTCATAATTTCAATTTCTTTTTTTGAATAATTTAAAAATACTTATTTTATAGTTTGCATCCAAGAGTTTTATACTTGAAAGTTTTTGGTGGTTTATTTCTGCTGTTGGTTGTTTCTACTAAGTCTTGTATTTTGCTTTTTAAAAAATACATTTTGGATTAAGCTCACATTTAAATGTCTGGGCTTTATGTGCAAGAATCTGTCAAGGTTTTTGTTGAAGATACACCCTTCTGCAGAGAATTTGTGTGTTTTTTTGGGGGGGCATTCCAAACAATAACCGACTCAAGGCTATGTAACATAGTTTCTTGGTTTGAACTTTTTTGGAATTCCTAGGTAGTGTGATTTAAAACCCAACTCCTGAGTGTGTCAACTATATCGATATTGTCATGAAAAACATCTATTTTTGTTACTGTGAGTCCAAACTAAAAATAACGTTTTTGTGGTCAACTTTTGTCATTTTTAAACCAATGGATGGGTATACATATATAGAGAGATATTTTTATGTCTCTCTATATAATGTATAAAGTATATAAATATTTACATCAATTTTGTGCGACCTGGCTTTATTTATAGATCTTATTTTAACTTCCTCTTTGGGCTGAGATCATGCCTTGCCTCCTGTCCTCTGCAGCATATGAAATGCAAGCCTTCAGGTCCAGAGGCTGGTGTCTAATCATAGCCACAGTGATAGCTCACCATTCTGAATTTAAGTCTTCTTTTTATTTTTTGGCCTGTGAACATTTTTATGCCCTTTAAAGTT